CCCAAAACCCCAAAACCCCAAAACCCCAAAACCCCAAAACCCCTTTGGAGATTAAAGTTATTGAATATAGATGGAAATTTAGGATTTCATTAAGCAACAGTAACATTCTGATCCTCCTCTTTCGCTTATTTTAAATTGACTGCTTCTGTCGATGAAGTCTTTCTGGCCAAAAATCATTTCAGGAATATCCAAAGACTTATATTGAGAGATACTCTCTTCTTCATGAATTACATTCTCTTCATCAATTACATTCTCCTCATCAATTCATTCGAGACCATTTTCTTGTGAAAATTTGTTTTTAAGATCTTGATTACGGTCTTTCATTCCTTGCATGTTAGTTAAATAAACATTTGAATGTCTTTCTTCCAATGCAATATTATAGGAATCATCAAAAGGACAATAACTGGGGTTTCACTCAGTTACCTCATCCTCTGTCTCACGCTCTAAAATGACCGCGAGGTCCTTCTCCTTAGTCTCTTCAAGATCTCTGTTGGAGGAGGAGCATTCAAACTCTGCGCGGGTTTTCGAGAACTTATTAGCCACTTCTTTCATGTCAAATCTTGGAGTTTCATCATTACTGATGTCATCTTCCCGGTGTTTTTCAGTAGAGAATAACTTGAAATCATGAATATTGAGCTCATCTTCCTCTGGGCTGTACTCCTCTTCTCCCTTGATTAGCTCTTGGTCATCTGCAAGGTTGTTGTATTGGAGGAGAACGGGTAAATCTGTACTTGACTTATGCATAATTCTATAGAATTATTTGGAAAGTCTACTTACCCTCAAAAGAAATCAATTGAATTTAGTGAATCATCTCTCCATCACGTTACAAGATCAGCACTGTGGGACCTCATGATCCTTGAGTTATACTGATTTCTTTGCTTGTGTTCTTCTACAGTGATCCTGGGACTCTGAATGTTAAGTAAATCAGCAGATGTACTCTTAAGAGCAGCTACTCTGAAAGGATTCTCTCCTGTAGTAATCTTCCTCTCTTTATGAATTTTGTCAAAAGTAGCAATTTCTTCTGAAAATTGTAGTGGAGTGATATTCTCTGATTGGATTCTAGGCTCCCTTTTTATCGTATATTCTGTATCATCGAATTTCTTGTCAAATGATTGTACATTTCATTTGGCTTTTTCCTGGCTCATATCCACAGTTATAAAATTTTCATGTGTAGACACAATATGAATTTTGCTTCTTTCATTACTTTCAAGGATCATATTTTTCCTTTTCCTCTGGGGACTCTGAAATAAAGAGCTTTCATCCAGCTTCTCATCATCTTCAATCTTAAAATCAGCAGGAAATGCTTCTATAGGGTCGATATCAGCCTTGTTGATAAAAGCCTGAGCAGCAAATTGTTCCTCAGGGATGTCCCGGTCAATCTCCTTTCAGTCAGAAATTTCATAACCATTATCGGAGAAGGAATCTGAGTCTCAAAAAGTATTGAATTTCTCTTCTTCAATTATCTGAGTTTCTGAATGTCTTTCTACTTCAAAAGTTCCGGCTTCATTCACTTCAAACTCTGTATTGCTCTCACTGGTGAAAGCACCTCTGAAAAGTCTGTCATTTCTGGATTTAAGCGGGCTCTTAGCTCTAGCAGGCTCGATCGTAGTAATTTGGTGATTAACATGAACTTCTGGTGATTTCTCAGTTTCATTTTGTCCATCTAAGATATCAAAAAGAAATTTTACCTTGTTTGTCTTCCTTGGGTGAACGAAAAGTGAAAAATTTGTCTTCAACATTACTGTCTATGTCGACCTCTTCGTTTTCATCACCATCATCCTTGTGAGAAGATAAGTAGACTTTGAGGCCCTCTTCCTCTTCATCCAAAGGATTATGGTCAGAGAGATTAATTTCTTCCTGACAATGATCTGATCTAACTTTTTCCACAGAGCCTATTCCAACCCCACTTCTGTTAAAACTCTCTGGGTAATGTACAGAGCTAAGTTTGCTACTTTTGGAGGATCCTAGCCTACTCATAATTCTCTTGCGGTTAAGTCTTGAAGAGAGTTCAGGAGGGGTTTTCCCCTTGTAATTTCTCTCATCTAACTTTCCTCCATATGAAATCAGCAGCTTTGCTATTTCAGCATTTCCTCCTTCAAAAGCTAGGTGAACCGGTGTGTTACTATAAGTAAAGTAGGTTAAAAAGGCAGGTGGGAATTCATAATTTCTGAAAATCAAGGAGGCATGAGTACAGAGAACAACACCAAGGGAATAGTACTAATTGGTTTCTTATATTCAATAGAGTCAAGGTATCATTTATTGCTCTAAAATGTTCATAAGTTCTGAACAAATTTCTTTGAGAAATTTGCAAAGTTTTTGATAAAAATTCAGAATAAAATTAATTATTTACTAATATTGCATGTAAAGTTTAAGATAAAATTCGCATTGTGAAGATCCGAAATCGCACGATATGAAGGCTATGAAAATTAGATTTATATAAATTTATCAATCTTCTTCAATATCTTCTAAATTTTGCTTACCCATTAACTTTGTTGTGGCAATTCGGGTCAGCCCCTTTATTCAAGAGCATTCTTCATATTACAGCGTTATCTCCATAACAAACAGTATGAAGAGCTGTATCTCCTTTGAGATTATACAGATCTAGTCTGACACTGCCTTCTTGACCAGATTTGAGGAGCATTTCGACTATTTTAAGGTTGAATGAACTTCAAGCGTGATGGAGTACAGTATCACCTTCCTAAATAATCTTAGAGCTGGTCTTTTTCAAATCCTTACCTTATTCTGAATGTTGACATCTGCTCCATGATCGAGTAGATATTTCACAATTTTGAATTTACTTATGATCACTGCACGATAGAGAGGAGTCCATCCGAACTATAAACATCAGAGAATGAGAAGAAGTTTGGTCTTTGAGATTTGTAAAATAGCAAAAGTAGATTAGCTCAAAATATCTTGGGCTGAAACCCTCAATTATGGAGCTTATTTTATTTATCCTAATTGCTTTCTAATATACTTATGCTATAATTCTCCAGAGATATGCTTACCACTTTTTCTTGAGCATCCAAAAGCTTTGCTCCATTCGGAGAAGATAAGATCTGATCTAACATATGAAAGTTGTCTAAACAGGTGACTAATAAAGCTTACTCATTCTACAGGCACTGACTATGTCTTCTTCAGTGTATTCCATGTTGGTTTGAGTTTTAATATTTGTTCTATTTAAGATAAATATATTGGGGTTTTGGGGTTTTGGGGTTTTGGGGTTTTGGGGTTTTGGGGTTTTGGGGTTTTGGGG